TTTTCCAGATTTCTTTTCTATGACAAAAACCGGAGAATTCCAGGGACTAGTTGAAGGTTCAATATGCCTCGCTTCTAATTGTTGAGAAGCTAAAGATTTTAAAGCTGCCAGTTTTTCTTGAGAAAGCGGCCGCTGCTCTATCCATATGGGCTCATCAATAAACCATTTTAAAGACAGCGCATATTTTTGTTCTCTGGCAGGGGCCGCTAGGATACATTTGGATATCCTAGCCTTGTGGCTTTGTGTTTGGGGAAAAATATCGAGGGGTGTCTTATTGCCTTGTTGAGTTTTATCTAATTCCTTCAGTGGGTCATATCCCATGGCACACATTATATTTTTATTTTGAGTAGATATAGATGGGATATTAATATATGCACCCCACTGTTGAAGTAAATCTCTACCCCACAGATTAATGGCAATGTTAGCCACATAGGGTTTAAGAGTTGTTATCTGATCCTCGGGTCCTTCACATCTCATAATCTGTTGACTTCTTTTTATTCCCCCTAAGGAGCCAAGTCCTGTAAAAATTACAGGTATGTTCTCAACAGGCCAAGATGAAGGCCAAAACTTTTCAGATATGATGGTAACGTCAGCTCCAGTGTCTAGTAATCCTATAAAAGATTTATTGTTAATTTTAAGATGTATTTTGGGGCGAAGATCTTTCAAAAAAGTTTGCCAATATAGTTGTTTCCCAGTACTGCCAAAACCTCCAGTTCTGATAACAGGATTGCTTTGGCCCTCTATATAAGGAAGAATAAGTAATTGAGCAATTTTATCTCCTGGTTGAATAGTATAAGGGTTACCGGCCGGTATCATAACTTGAATTTCATTTTCATAATCACAGTCAATAACACCAGGATGCACATGAACACCTTTAAGTGTAAGACTACTCCGCCCAAAAATAAGGCCTACTGTGCCTTTTCCCAAAGGTCCATAGATTCCTGTTCTAACTGTAACGACACCCAAGGAAGGCTGTAAAACAACTGGGTCTACAGCAGGGAGATCTAAGCAGCACTCCCAGTTGTTGCATGACGGAGGTCTGTGACCTGTCGATGTTGTGGTGTTGAGACCCATTGCTGGCTGGATAAAAGCTCATTTTGTTTGTTGGGCCATGTGATAGGCCCCGTGATAAGTTTCCCTGATTTTGATCAATATTAGGAGGTGGAAGAGGATGCCCATCTTTGTGATATTGGGAATGGCACTGATTGGCCCAATGATATCCTTTTTTTTTTTTTTTTATAAAAATTTTTTTTTCAACGTTTATTTATTTTTGGGACAGGGAGAGACAGAGCGTGAACGGGGGAGGGTCAGAGAGAGAGGGAGACAGAGAATCGGAAACAGGCTCCAGGCTCTGAGCCATCAGCCCAGAGCCTGACGCGGGGCTCGAACTCACGGACCGCAAGATCGTGACCTGGCTGAAGTCGGACGCTTAACCGACTGCGCCACCCAGGCGCCCCAATGATATCCTTTTTTTATAACGAGGGCATAAAGCAGTTGGAGACATTAATTTAGATAGATTATTAGTACTGGTATTATTAACATTATGCTTATCTTTTTAAAAAATTTGTCCTTTATTTTTCGACAGTCTTTTTTTTTCATGTGGCCACTTTTTCCACAACCAAAGCATTTGGTGTTAGATTTAAAAGGGTCTGTCCCTCTTATAGCAGCAGCGAGGAGGTTCATATTGTAAAGTGGGGTACCAATATCAGCATATGCTTTCACATAGTCAGCCATGGACCCAACAGCCACTCTTATAGCAGGAAGAGCTCACTGGCATTCTGAATGAACATTATCATAAGCCACAATAGGAAGCAACAAATCCCTTAGGCCTGCTTGAGGAATTGTTTTAGCCAAAACATCTCTTAATCTTGCTACAAAGTCAACATAAGATTAACTATGTCCCTGTTTAACATTTGCAAATGAGGGGGTAACCTCCCCTGGGGTAGCTATACGTTGCCAAGACATCTTACAGCAATTGTTGTATTACTTGTTGTATTGCTTGATCACCCAAACCACATTGATCTCTTAGTTGAGAATATTGTCCTTGTCCACAAAGCTGTTCCTTGTCAATAGGAATATTATCATGAACGTTTCTTTCCCCATGAATCTTAGCTTGATCTTCCCACCAAGTCATAAATTGTAAATATTCAGCACGGGATAAAACAGTTCTAGCCAACATTTCCCAAACTTTAAGAATCAAGCGTTCGGTGTCAGCAAATGCTGAAAGTAAGCCCTGCGTATAAGGAGAGTTAATGCCATTTTAAGATCTTTCAAAAATTTTTACAGGGATCTGAGAGTATTCAGCATTATAGCTTCCATTAGGATATTGTGCATTTGGTGGAAAAGCATTCAGAGTAACCGGAAATATTTCTGATACCGGTTGTATCAATTCTAAATCTCCTTCCTGCTTAGCTTTTATCAACCCTCGCATCAGAGGTGGAATGATAGGGCCTTCATGTTCCTTGGAAGGAACTATTATGTGAGGCTGGTCATTAGAAAAAGGTTTGGAAGTGACTGGAAAGGCAGTCTTTCGTTTAACATGAGTAGCAATTTCTGTATTTTCAGTTAAAGCAGTAGGGGGTATACTTTATTATAAGGGAGGCAGTAGCCTCCAAGTTATCATTTGTGGGTGGCGACAGAGGCCATTCTGGTAAAGTATCTTCCTCAGGCACTATAGCTTTGATCTTCAGAGGAAGACTCATCCTCAAAACTATCAGATGTAAAATCCAACTCATCTCCTTCTTCTTGATGAGTTTTTAACTTAGGTGAACATATATTTTGTTCTGAGTCAGGCTGTAAAGCCATCTCAATTAAAGAGCATAAAGACCAAACTTTTAAAGAAATGATATCTCCATTTTGATGAGCACGTCTAAGCATTTTCATAATTAGTCTCCACTGTTTAAGGTTTAAAAGATTTTTCCAGACGGATTAAACCAATAGCAATGTTTTTTAACCAAGTACCAGAGCTCATCAAAAGTTCCCCTTTTCACTTTTACTCCTGAACTTTGCAATAAAGTACGAAGTGATTTAGAGTAAGCGTCATGATCATGAGACTGGGAGTTTCCCATCCTTCACTATCCCAAAGCCAGGACTTACCTGTCCTACTGCTCTGTTTCGGTCCTCTGTGACTGTAAACCAAAGTAGTCTCGAAGACTGTTTTCTGTGCCGTATCCTGCCAACTATGCCAATTGTTGCAGGGTGTATGGCCGGAGTCGCAAAAAATGAGTCGGCAAACAAAGTGCAGTTAAGTGAAGGTCCTCATACTCCAGTCTGAATGAGGCCCTGACTCCAGAATGAAGCTTCTTTTTATTAGGGTAATTGCTAAAGACTACGTGCATAAAGTCAGCTAAGCAAGTGTGTTAATCAATCTAATGGTTTAGCTTTTCAAGGTTGAATTTCAAGTTACTTGGTTTCTATAACACTAGGAAAGGTCAGGTGTCAAGGAGGATCCAGCCCTGGACAATGTTAATGGCTCTAGGCGTTCCTTACTAGCAGCAGCCATGTTCAGCTGTGTAAACATGTCCTAAGGCCTTTCACCTTCTCCAGCCCTTCCCTTTTGAAGTCTTTTCCTTTGATGCTTCTCTCCTGCATCTCCCACATCTTGTCTCTTTCCAGTAAATTCCATTGCAGCCTCAAGAGCTTCGAGGGGGGCCAAAACTTGTTTATCAATGGAAGTCTGGCTTACAGACTCTTTGGTAGTATTTATCATAAACTTATTAAGCACATGGGCTGTCTGGATAGTATGATGCAGGCTGACTCCAGCTACAGAGGCAGAGGCAATAATGCCTACTGCTGTGAAGATGCCCGTGATTAACAGGCCAACAAATCTTTTCTGCCATGCAGCAGAGTGCCAGTGTCAAATAAGCTTGAAATGCACACCTAGTCCTGATGGATGCATATAGGGCTCAGACCTATTTAACAGGAACCCAGGCTGAGACACGGTGTCTAAGTACTAACTAAGAGGATATATTTAATTGGGTGATGATATTATTACTTATGCAGGACATAAACCAGCCCTGAGAAGTAGAGATATTATAATTAGTTTCTAGTTGTTGGACCTGTAAGGTGGAGGTAGCAAAGAGAACGTAGGGAGAAGGGACACAATTAGTAGTCCATGCAAGTTGGACATTGTGCAGGGAGGCCCAAGTTAAGTTAACATGTCATTTTACATAAATTTCACCATGGCTAATTGTAGTGTGAAGAAGGGAAGACCTAGCTTCCAAAGACTAACAAGCCAAGGTCCTTTTAATTTCCCTTTATATGAAGAAATTATAGGGCCAGACAAGCCTCCATCTTTCCAAAAAAAATATCTTCCTTACTAGACTGGCCAAAGGATATGGTCTTATTAGAATATTTTGTTTCAAGATGTCCTCTAGGACCCCTGTCAATAATAGTCCAATTACCCCAGTGAAGATTATGCTCAGTCTCTCCATGACAGGTTGCCCAAGGAATGTTGTTCCAGGGGTGGTCTGAATATTTGAGACTGGAGCAAGCTATAACATTAGGAGTGTGAGATATGCTTGTTTTTTTTTTTTTTTTTTTTTTGTGGTATATCAAAGCTTGTGGCTGAGAAAAAGGTAAAATTATCTGGCCTGGTAGAAGTTTTGGGCTGTACGTGTAAAAACCAGTTGATTTTTAGTTTAAGGCAGGCAGATAAATTGCTAAGTTTAGTAACACACATACTGAAGTAAGCCACCATTCAGGTCTCGGCATATAAAGCCAATGTTCTTGTTTAGTTTGGAAGGGAGGGTTAAGGTTGGCTCCTCCCATGAACTCAGTGTCAGTATTGCTAATAGGCATATCCTGGCCTAGGAGGGCTAGGCTATTGAATATAGGTGGGTTAACGGGATGAGCCAAATATGAATATTGACCTTGGCCTAGGCAAATGAGGGCAAGGAGTAGAATCAGTGTTGCTTGTATCGAATTTCTGTCAATGATGGAGATCATGGCCATCAGGTGCGAGTCAGGAGTGTATGTAATACCATTGTGTTGTAAGAGGATGCCGGCCTGGTTAGACAGGCATTTAAGGCTTCCTCATGTTATATCAGGGGCAAGGACTTGCGTTTCTGGAGTGGCTTCAGCATGAGCAGTCCATAAAGAGGCTTCATCCATCTTGAAAAAGGGGGCTGGTGACCGCTCACTCAGAGTCATTCTCTGGAATTTTTGGTTCACTGGAAGATATCCTGGGGGTCTCCACCACGCCATGGCACAGCTTCACCAACTGAGAGGGGTTCCACAGAAGTCCAGAATCTGAAAGAACACAAGCATTATCCTCTACCCCAGGTGAGAAGTTTAGTGGGCCCAGACCATGTGGGCCCCCCCTTTGGGGGTTTTGTACAGCACCATAGGGTGAAAGGGCTTCTCTTCGTTTTGAAAAGTGCCATTCAGTTAGTAGTCAGTCCCTGAGGGTCAAGATTTAAAAAATTAAGAGTAATCATAGCATGGTCGAGGAGAAGTTGAGGTTGTAATGTAGACCGCCATGGGTATGTTCCCCTTTTCTGTTTTTGTTTTTGTTGTTGTTGTTTTTTAACATGGTTTTTAGAGCACTATATGCTCGTTCTATAATAGCTTGGCCTTGTGGGTTTTAAGCAATACCTGTAATATGTCAGATATTCCATAAGGCACAGAAGTCACGAAATGAAGAGGAGACATAGTCTGGGCCATTATCTGTCTTAATTGTGTGGGGGAAGCCCTAGGCTGCAATAGCATGCAGAAGATGCTGAATGATCACTTTGGTGTTTTCTTTTGTATGAGCTGAGACAAAAATAACACCTGAATAAGTATCTATAGATGCATGGATATACTTATGTTTACCAAATGCAGGGTAAACGTTAACATCAGTCTGCCAAATCTCACTAGGCTTGAGGCTCCGGGGTTTTGTTCCTGCTGGGAAGGAATTCAGGGGATAGTAATTAACAGTCTGAGCAGAAGTAAATGATTTGTTTGGCCTCATTCACAGTAAGGGTAAATTGTTTTCTTAGAGCTTGCCAATTTTGATGGTAAAGATTATGGGAGGCTCTGGCTTCAAAAAGAGGATAACATTCCTGAGAAACTGTTGGGAAAATGAATAAAGTTTTACACCATAAGATGGCCGACGGGACTAAAACAAGCTCTGGTCTCTAGCTTGGAGACCCCTCTTCCGGGTTCTTCTTGCCCTGTTTGTGGAGCGGGCGCGCGCGTGCCAAAACCCTATGGAAGCTGACAACTATAAATTACCCTTCCCACTTGCATTCAGCGCTCAGATCTTTGGAGAAACGGTCTCCTCTGAGCCCACCAGTGTGAAATAAGCCTCTGATCCACCGAGATCTCCACCTCCGAGTGCCGCTTGGTTTTTCCGCCAGCGTTCCATCCTGGTTCCCTAACATATTTGGTTCCCTGATTGGGAAACCCAACTGCGCCGGCCCATTGTTGCCACTGGTTTGGGAAAATGACGAGGCGGTGATGGAATGAGGATTCGCAAGGGGGAAGGCGCACCCTGCCTGAATTTCAGCAGTCTCCCACTTGGTCGCCCCGGGCCAACCCTGCTCCGCCATTCCTGCCGGACTGGAGGAGACTTGGCAGGTGAGGACCTGGACCCGACGTCGGAACCGGTAAGGCTGGGGCCCAATCTAGCCAGGCCCACTCACAAGAGTGGAAGGGGGGCCTGATCACTCCCCGGAGACCTCAGAAGTCTCACAGGTAGGGATTCTGTGAGAGGGAATGTAATAACCTCTGGTGTGTATGTGAGTGTGAATGTGTGACTCGGTCTAGCTTGCTTGCCAACTTCGCTTCTGTGCCTCCACGGGCAGGCATCCTTAAGGTCCCCAGAAGCCCGTGGAGTCTGAGTGGGCTCGTCTGTGATTCCGTGGTACACGGAATGGCACACACTCTGTGGTGGCATTGGAATAGTTTCTGATCGTAAGTCACAAAGCTGAGACCGCTATGGCTAAACGTCCCCTAAGTTCCTTCAGGACACGGACAGATGGGCATCTGACCGGTCTCCTCATTAGAGGGGACACCCCTATCCCTCTGTCTGCCTTTGTGACTCCACCTCACGGGAACATGGGGTCGGGACAGAGCAAAGAAGGGGTTTTTGGGAGACTATGGAATTAAGATAACCGCTGGCATGTTAAGGACCCTATGTGAGTTAGAATGGTCCACTTTTGCTGTAGTAGGGTCCTCTGAGGGAACCTTGGATGTCCCAATGATCCGCTGCATCTGGCATGTTGTCTCCAGAGACCCAGGTCACCCTGATCAATTTCCATACATCAACTACTGGCTTGAAATTGCCTGAAATCCTCCGCTGTGGGTGCAATTCATCCATAGCAAGCAGAGCCAGGCAAAGGTTTTAGTTGCTTTATCCAGAGACTCACCCAGGGAGCCAAAGAAGCAACCCACCACTTCCCTAGTGTGTGCAGGAGACCCGGAGGAAGATCCTGTCTTTCTGCCACCTTATGACTCACCGGGCTCCCTCCCCCCACCGGTACGAAGAGGCTCTCCTCTGGGGGATCAGAGCAGGGGCTGAGAAACCCATGAATATGACCAGCAGCAAGGGGATTCCCCTGGGGATTATCATGAGAGGCGATGCGAGGCTTACACCCTCTTTACTCCAGAGGCACAAGAGAGTCGTGACCAAAGGATGGGGAAAGTCTAGCCGCCAAAAGGGGGGAGGCCCATAACCTCCTTAGCAAGGGGTCAGTGGGCCTACTGCAAGGAGAAAGGACATTGAAAGAATAAATGTCTCAACCAAGGAAAGTCCCAGAAACCCAGCCGATATCAGGAGGAATCTCAAGAAGGGAACCGTATTGGTCTGGCCGAGATAGAATCATACTGAAGGGGACCCTGGCTCTCTCCCCCTGTTCCTCTGCCTAATAGATGTGAGGGATTCTCCCTCACTTCCCAGGTTAACAGTTATAAGTGGAGCCAACTGTGGTTAGTCTACCTCGGGATGGGGACTTTAAAGAATGTTCCCAAGCAGTTGCTGAAACTCCATTCATTTCGGGGAAATTCCCAGTCTTCTCTGGACTGATGTGGACTCCATATTTCCACTTTGGTGGAACAATAAAAACATGGCATCTGCTCCTCTGAGTTAAGGTTTTGAATTAGGTTTTCCTTCTCTGCCTTCTACTGGCACCTTGCCTCTTCTGCCTTCCCCCTACCCCTGCTGTTTCTGCACCAGCTTGGGTGTGGTCTACGTAACTGGTTCCTATACCCTCCTCAGTACCTCAACACCATTGGCTCCTCCTCCCATCCTCAAGGTCAAGGAGTAAAGTGCACCCCCTTGGACATCTAGGTATTTTCCAAATAGAATAAGTTGCTAAAGCTTTGACTACTGACACGGGTTTGTGTTTTTAACTTCTTACTGCAGAGAAATTAAGGCTATTTGGACCTATTGGAAAACATGCTTTGTACTTAATTGGTTCATGAATTTACCATGTAAAAAAATTCTGGTGTAAACACCTCTCAGTTGGTTACTAAGTCCTCAATTGGAGACTAAGGTTTCCTAAGAGTTAAAATTCTGCTAAGTGTACTTGAGACTGATGGAAATTAAGGAAAGCAACCCTGTATGTAGGCAAGTAGGAGGTATGTAAGAAAGATATAAGGAATGGAAATACATTTTTGTTGAGGGTAGATGAAAGTAATTTTGTCCTAAATGAGACTGGCTATTTGGAGAGAAATGGCTTTGGGACGAAGTTTGAAGGCAAAGGAAAGTTGTAGAAAGTTCATGAAGGGAAATCTTTGGAAAGGAATTTTATGTGTGCTCAGGATGGACTAAGATTGAGATGAATGGAATTTAAGGTTGAAATTCTGCTTTTCTCTCTGCTCAAATAAAAAAGTTTTCTTGGACTGTTGATCTGCTCTTGATAAGAATGCAAACAAAGCCTTGTCTTCTGGGCAAACCAAAGTTTTAGGTTTGATCTTTATCAGGTCTTTGATTACTTAGTTAAAACTTCTCAATGTTAAAGGAACTAGGTTTTGGTAACAACTATATAATGCTATACATTCACCTTTAGGTTCTTTTATTGCCACCTTGGTTGAATAAATAAAGTTTTAAGATTTGTAATGATCTGTAATCCTATTTACGATGTACTTATAACTTCCTAAGGTTTTAGCAAACTTCCCAGGATTTAAATGATAAATGAAAGTCTTTTTTGACCAATTAGGGCCTTTCATTTGGGATCCTAAGTTACTTGGAAAGGCACTGTCGTGCAATGGTAACCCTTAGGTTGTATTGCACAGATAAATGTTGTAACTGCCCAAATATATATGCAATTCCAAAAGTTTTAATGTTTTGGTATAAGGTCATCACTTATATTCTGATTATGTGTCACAGTGTTATGTGTCACAGAAATAACCAGATTTCTTTGTCAATTGCATCATAATGAACTCTCATCAGATCTTTAACGATGCCTGTTTCTGAGATTTTTGTTATTCTCTCACAAAACGTGTTTCTTCTTCAAGGAGATTTATAAAAAAGGACTTTGGGGACAAATACAGGTATTCGACATCTTTAAGATTAATACTAAAATGGGTAAGAATTTCCAGAACTAAAAAGCTGCATTCAAATTGAACAAGAATTAGGAACATGGGATTAAATGAACTGAGGAAGATTACAGTTTTGTGATTCTTGTTGAAAATATTGCTGGTTCTCTAATGTTTGCTCTTCCAGATTAAGGAAAATTTCTCTTAAGATATCTATGATATACAGAAATGTCATAAAGTATTCATTTATACCCTGAAGCATTTATCTTTTCTCTCTGTATAACTCCCCTGAAATTCAAAACCTCTCAGTGAGTATTCTTTCCCTGATGGCATTTACAATTGTTTGCATAAGTTCAATAAGAATCTGTTCATCTTGTAACAGGTCACCATCGGAAATACTGGTTATTTTACCAAGGCTTTGACTGGAATGTCATATTTGAGAGTGACATTCATAGACTCAGATGTGACCAGACAGCTTTGAGGAACTAAGGTTGGCTTTATGAAACACGGAGCCATAAAGCCCCTTGGAAATGTTGGCCTGATACCTTGCTTACAGAGTTCCCAGCAGCCTCACCAGGTGAGTAAATAAGGGCACTTCCTGGCGGGTGCAGGAACCTCAGGATATCTTGGGGACCTCATGAAGAGGAGTTTGCCCCATTCTACAGGTATTGCAGGCCTATCTGATGGCAAGTATTTGTCTTGACTTCTGGCCTGGAGAGGCTACTAAAAGTTCAACCCAGAGATTCCTTATAAAATGTTCCAGCAAAGCAAACTTTAAAAGATCCTCATGATCAATCGCTATTCTTGCTGAGCTTATATGAATAGTTAGGCCAGGTTTGTTAAGACTGGACTTGTTCTACAAATGCATTGGTCTCAATTTGGCTATCTCTGGAAAGGGGGGTTTTTAGGGAGAAAAACTATGTTTCAACAATGCACCATTATGGATGTTAAATTCTAGTTATGATTGTCTTTAAATGTTTGTTGTTTGCCTAAACTAGACAACTTGAGGTAAACTTCAGAAAAATTGTCACAGTATTTCATGTATAGACAATCTTCTGTGCTTGTTATTCTGTGGGGATAATAATAAGACCCCATGGGCATATGATTATTTCAACAACTGGAAAACAGGATGGATCTCTAAATATGCAAACCATATCTTCCCTAAACCTGATCTGACAGTTAGCAGAAACCCGCCCCTTTTGAAGACTTGGAGGTGGACTTTACAGATATACCACCAACTAGAGGATTCAGTTTCAGGTATCACCCCATGGGTCCATCACTCCAGAGTTAAGAAGGCCAAGTCAGAGGAACCCTCAACGTGGCGAAGTGATCCAGATCAAGTCAACCCGCTTAAAGTGACCCTCGAAAAGACACTGGCCCCTGAGCTCTCTAGCCCTGCTCCAGCCACACCCCAGAAGCTGGCTGGCCTGTGCATGACAAAAGCTTGAGGAATCAATGTGTGGGCCAAGCCCAGGGGTTCGGATGCAACTCTGCCAGCCTTTCCCCCTTACTGGTGTCAGAGCTCTGATCTTGCTTCTTGCTGTTGGGCTAATAGAGACTGCACCAACAAACTGGACATGGAACGGATGGCAGACTCCCTGGTAACCTTACAAAGCCAAATAAACTCCCTGGAAGCAGTGTCCCTCCAAAATAGGTGAGCCCTCGACCTCCTCACTTCAGAAAAAGGAGGGACTTGTATCTTTCTGGGGGGAGGAATGTTGCTATTTTGTAAACCAATCAGGAATAGTCAGGACTAAGGTTGAGGAACTCAAGGAAAGAATTCAACATAGACAACAAGAAAATATCAGTCAGTGGAGAGGATGGGATCTCACAGACTGGGCATCCTGGCTCCCTGCCCTGGCAGGGCCCTGCCTTTCCATAATTTTACTTGTGACCATCGGCCCCTGTATGCTAAATACCCTGGTACGTTTTATTGAAAACACTGTTGCTTGCCAAACTGCAGCACGTATCTTAGCCCTCCGAGGGTACCAACCCCTAGAGCTAAAAAGTGGTGCCTAATAAAAGATTTTTTAAAAGGCATCAAAAGGGGGAATGTTGGGAAAATGAATAAAGTTTTACACAGTAAGATGGCCGATGGGACTAACACAAGCTCTGGTCTCTAGCTTGGAGACCCCTCTTCCGGGTTCTTCTTGCCCTGTCAAAGAAGGATGGCCTTGTCAAAGAAAGTGCTGCGAGTTGGCAAGTGGATGTTTACAGGGTCCTGACCTAACAACGCCCAGCATCTCCAACATCCCTTTTGGATTAATTGTGCTATGTTGAATATGAGTGCGGTGAGAGTACTTTTAAGACTTATGGGGGTAAAACCAAGGAGGAAGATGGTGGCATAGGAGGACGCTGGGCTCACCTCGTCCTGCTGATCACTTAGATTCCGCCCACATCTGCCTAAATAACCCAGAAAACCACCAGAAGACAAGCAGTACAGACTCTCCGGAGCCAAGCGTAGACGAGAGGCCCACGGAAGAGGGTAGGAAGGGCGGAGAGGTGGTGTGCCCTACACCCACTGGCAGCAGGGAGCTGGGGCGGTGGAGCAGCAGCCCACCAGGCCAGGCCAAGCCCCTGAGTCTGGCTTGCAAAAGGCAGAGGGGCCGGACTCCGTGAGTTCTGACAGCCAGTGGGACTTAACATCTGGAATGTTTTAAGTCAACAGCTCTGCTCAGAGAGTGGAAGGGCTAGAGGACAATGGGAGGGAGAGTTGTTGAGCCCTGGAAGACAGAGTTCAGCTCGGTGGGGGACAAAGGCACTGGTCAGTGTCATCTCCCTCACCCATCCCCCAGCCAAAATCCCAAAGGGAACCAGTTCCTGTCACGGAACTTGCTTGCACCGTGCAAACACCCAACGCTGTACTTCTGTGGATCCATCCCTCTGACGGGTCTGCCTGCCCCCTCCCAGTGTTGTAAGGCCCCTCCCGCAGGGGACCACTGATGGCAAAACGAGCTAAGCTTGTCCCTCCCGCCCCTGTGCACCTTGCGGATCCACCCCGGCTAATACGCCAGATCCCATAGAAGCAGCACCAAAAGGCTGGCAGTGTGCAAGTAGCCCAGACAGGGGCCACACCACTCCATGGTGAGTCCCGCTCCTGGGAGAGGGGAAGATAAGGTACACACCAGTCTGACTGTGGTCCCAGCGGTGGGCTGGGGGCAGACATCAGGTCTGACTGCAGCCCTGCCCACCAACACAAGTTAGTCCAGACAGCACAGGGGAAGTGCCCTGCAGTTCCACACCACCCCAGGGACTACCCAAAATGTCAAAACGGAAGAATTCAGCTCAAAAGAAACTCCAGCAAGTAGTGACAGCTAACGAATTGATCAAAAATGATTTAAGCAAAATAACGGAACATGAATTTAATATAATAGTCATAAAATAAGTCGCTGGGCTTGAAAAAAGTATAGAGGACAGCACAGAATCTATTGCTACAGAGATCAAGGGACTAAGAAACAGTCAGGAGGAGCTAAAAAATGCTATAAATGAGCTGCAAAATAAAATGGAGGCGACCACAGCTCAGATTGAAGAGGCAGAGGAGAGAATAGGTGTATTAGAAGATAAAATTATTAAAAAGAGGAAGCGGAGAAAAAGAGAGATAAAAAAATCCAGGAGTATGAGGGGACAATTAGAGAACTAAGTGATGCAATCAAACGTAACAATATCTGTATAATGGGGATTCCAGAAGAGGAAGAGAGAAAGGGGCTGAAGGTGTACTTGAACAAATCACAGCTGAGAACTTCCCTGACCTGGGGAAGGGAAAAGGCATTGAAATCCAAGAGGCACAGAGAACTCCCTTCAGACAACTTGAATCGATCTTCTGTGCAACATATCATAGTGAAACTGGCAAAATAGAAGGATAAAGAGAAAATTCTGAAACCAGCTAGGGATAAACAGGCTCTAACTTACAAAGGGAGACCCAAAAGAGTAGTGGCAGACCTATCTACTGAAACTTGGCAGGCCAGAAAGGAATGGCAGGAAATCTTCAATGTGATAAACAGAAAAAATATGCAGCCGAGAATCCTTTATGCAGCAAATCTGTCATTCAGAATAGAAGGAGAGATAAAGGTCTTCCCAAACAAGCAAAAACTGAAGGAATACATCACCACTAAACCAGCCCTACAAGAGATTCGAAGGGGGATTCTGTGAGTGAAATGTTGCAAGGACCCCAAAGTACCAGAGACATCACAACAAGCATGAAACCTACAGACATCACAATGACTCTAAACCCGTATCTTTCTGTAATAACACTGAATGCAAATGGACTAAATGTGCCAACCAAAAGACATAGGGTATCAGAATGGATAAAAAAACAAAAAACAAACAAACAAAAAAAACACCAAAAAACAAAAAAACAAGACCCATCTATTGGCTGTCTACAAGAGACTCATTTTAGACCTGAGGCCACCTTCAGATTGAAAGTGAGGGGATGGGAAAACTATCTATCATGCTACTGGAAGTCACAAGAAAGCTGCAGTAGTCATACTTATATCAGACAAACCAGACTTTAAATTAAAGGCTCTAACAAGATATGAAGAGGGCATTATATAATAATTATAGGGTCTATCCCTCAGGAAGAGCTAACAATTATAAATGTCTATGTGCCGAATATGGGAGCCCTCAAATATATAAAACAGTTAATCACAAACGTAAGTAACCTTATTGATAAGAATGGGGTAATTGCAGGGGACTTTAATACTCCACTTACAATAATGGATAGATCATCTAGACACAGGATCAATAAAAACACAAGGGCCCTGAATGATACATTGGATCAGATGGACTTGACAGGTCTATTTAGAACTCTGCAACCCAAAGCAACAGAATATACTTTCTTCTCGAATGCACATGGAACATTCTCCAAGATAGATCACACACTGGGTCACAAAACAGCCCTTCCTAAGTATACAAGAATTGAGATCATACCATGCATAATTTCAGACCACAGTGCTATGAAGCTTGAAATCAACCACAGGAAAAAGTCTGGAAAACCTCCAAAAGCATGGAGGTTAAAGAACACCCTCCTAAAGAATGAATGGGTCATCCAAGCAAGTAGAGAAGACATTAAGAATTATATGGAAACAAATGAAAATGAAAAGGCAACAATCCAAACGCTTTGGCATGCAGCAAAGGCAGTCCTGAGAGGAAAATGCATTGCAATCCAGGCCTATCTCCAGAAACAGGAAAAATTCCAAATACAAAATCTAACAGCACACCTAAAGGAAATACAAGCAGAACAGCAAAGACACCCCAAACCCGGCAGAAGAAGAGAAATAATAAAGATCAGAGCAGAAATAAACAATAAACAACATAGAAGCCAACAAAACAAAACAGAACAAAACAAAAACTGTAGAGCAGATCAACGAAACCAAGAGTTGGTTTTTTGAATAAATAAACAAAATTGATAAACCGCTAGCCAGGCTTCTCAAAAAGAAAAGTGAGATGACCCAAATAGATAAAATCCTTAATGAAAATGCAATTATCACAACCAATCCGTCAGAAATACAAGCCATTATCAGGGAATATTATGAAAACTTATATACCAAAAAACTGGACAACCTGGCATAAATGGACAAA